CACCATAGCCTAGCCAAGTTAACACATAGAATTAACCATCATACAACTTTACACATAAAACTAAAAAGTTCCCCTTGACCACTGCCCACAATTCCAGAGCTCCTTGCAGGTTACCAGTTTGTATCCTCAGACCTTTGTTATGCTTTCCATACATAAATATGTATTCATAGTAATATATTGTTGATGTTTATTTTATATAAAGTGTTGTGTTGTATCTATTGGCTTTTTGCATTCTCTAGTATGTCTTAAAAGCCTTCTCTTATAAGTACATACTGTGCTACTTCATTCTTTTTAGCAACAGCATAATATTCATTGCTATGGATAGACTGTAACTTATTTATCTAGTCTTATTTTTGGACATTTAGATGCATAGACACATTTGTGTCCAGTTTTCTGCCATTATGTATGATGTCGTGTTTTTCATCCTTTGCATTTTCTATTATAGGGAGCAAGAAATTGAATGACTGGATTATGGGGAATATACACTAAAAATTTTTATTGATACGATAATTTATTTAATAAATGACTTTTCATTATAAGGTTTCAAAAACAATTACCACCTGAGTATTTCCCATCCACAGATAAATTCAGACTGTGATGTCTAGGCTCACTAATTTTCCTCTCTAAGCCTATCTGGCAACAAATGGCACTATAGGATTCCCAGTTGTGAGATCCTACATTGCAGTCCATTTGTTGGCTTTAAAGTCTTATCTGTATTCTGTTCTTCTGGACACTATTAGATGGATCACTTCAAAAGAAGATAAAAATTGAAACTGCTATTCATCTAGTGCTATTGCTAAGCATCTCAAAGCTCTTGAACAGCGTCTAGGTGATCTTCTTAAATCTTTGACAGGTAAGGAGGGAGTCAGTAATGCTTACAGTTCCCATTTTGTAGGTAGAAACAGGTGCAGAATACTTTGCTTTCTGATAATTGGTAAGGAGGCCACTGAAAGCAAAGTGGATCTGGAAACAACTCTGAACACATAGTATTGGAATGCCAGAAAACAGCAGCAGGGTGGAGACCAAGAGAGCTGCATACAGGTATAGGGGAAGCTTGTTTTCAGTAAGTTATTGATTTTTTTTTAAGTAAGGTATTTCAAACTCTGACTATGTGTGGGTCTGAAAAAGGTAAAGGTTAATGTTGAAGGAGTAGGAAGACTTCATTGAACAAAAGTAAGGACTCTTTTCTTGATGTCCCTTATACCACTTGTTTCCCTGAAACACTTAATTGTATTGGTGAACAAAGCTACTCTCTTGTTCTCTCTTCTTTGTTGAAAGCAGCAAGCAGCTATAACTTGATGTTTGGTCTTGTTAGAGAATAGAGAATTTTAACAGGTCATTAATTCTAGTTGTGCTAGAGATTCCTGTGTGACTTGAACTATTTATTTCTTTTTATTTCACTTTTTTTTCTATCTATAAAATGGGAACAGAGTTATCTCTGACCCCCCCTTGTTACTCATGATATTTGACTGTCAGCTTAATGAAGTTTTCAGATAGCTTTGTGCTGCTTGGGAGTAGAATCTAAAGGGATACTATATTGTATTTTTATTTAGATTTAACTCATTTGCAGATTCAATACCATACATCTTTGCGTGTTTTAAGTTTTTCTTTTCCAAGTTGAAATGTATAATTTTATGTATTTTTAACTTAATAGAATGTATAAAATGATTTTATAATTTTAAGTACCAAAGTAGTATTTATTTTCACCTACATGTTACATGTTTATGGAAAAATACATTATCTTGCAACTTTCTTTTCATCTGAAAATCTTACTTTAAGTTTTATTATTTTGAAATGTTTTATTTTGTTTTAGGAAAGAGTAGGAAACTTTTTGGCAGACTTTTATCTGGTGAATGGACTTGTTTTAGAATCAAGGAAAAGAAGAGAACATCTCAGTGAAGAAGATATTCTTCGAAATAAAGCCATCATGGAGAGTTTGAGTAAAGGTGGAAACATAATGGAACAGAATTTTGAGGTATAACTTTTACTTCTAATTTGTAGCTTTCTGAAGAGAGAGGAGATAGACTTCATCCTTGGTGGCATTCAGTAAGTTTATATAAATATACTCACAGGTTTTGTTTACTATGTATTACCTCTTATTTTTCTGTGACTCTTTATTTTCTTGATGTCATTATTATGAAGAAGAAAAAGAAAAAAATGGCCTTAGGTAATTTTTTGAATTTGTATTTGGTCTTTGAATCTTCATTAATAATAGATTAAAGTCATTTCGTAAGCATGAAACCCAGTGTTAATTTTTAATCCATGTCCCTTTACATATATTCTTCCTGCTTCCCCAGTCAAAATCTCACTGCTTTGAAGGCCCAACTAAAGATTCACACCTACTTTATGAATGTCATCTCTGGCCGATACCTTCCCATAAATTTTTTATTCAGCATGTATTTATTGAAAGCATGCTATATGTAAAAACTTGTGTGCCAGTAAGGAAAGGGGAGGGGAAATTAGGAAATATAAAGATATATGAGACATGGTAATTGCTCCTATAATCTTATTCCCTTATAAAGGTGAATCAAATGTATGCTTAAATTTGGGTTTTTTTGACAATTTTAGATTTACTAAAAAGTACTAGAATAGTACAAAGAATTCTTTGATATTCTTCATCAAGATTCCCTAAATGTTAACATTTTACTACATTTGTATTACACTGTTTTTCAAACTGCAGTATAGGGACCCTTTAGTAGATAATGAAATTAATTTAGTGGGCATGACCACCTTTTTAAAAAATTAATACCCAATTAAAATGATAGATAAAAACCAGAGCACGTCACACATAATAAGGGTGATTTCTGCTTCATGAAACAATAGTTTCAGGGATGTATGTGTTGTATAAACAAGTATATGTGTGAGTACCGGATTGTAGTGTAATGATTAAAAGCTACTATAAGGAGGCTTGAATTCCTTGAATGTTTAGTCCCTCCCCTATGGTGCTGTGTCAGATCCTATGTTTTAGTGATAGTCAAACTTTCCAGAGTAGTATGCCAGGTTCCAGCTAATTCATGATAATACTATGTGTGCCAGGAAAACATTTTAATGTTTAGTGTATTGAATGTAATGTTTAATGTATTGAATGAATCATCATAGTTTAGTTGAGTACACTATGTAAAATATTTAAGTTAAAATTGTGATCACACCAGTTTAGTGCGATCCTGTCACTTTCCGGCCACATCCCATTTGTGCTCCTCATTTTTCTTCTGACCTTGGGATAGGCCTCACTAGACTGCATTCTCCAGAAGCCTCCTGATATTTACTGATCTTTGGTCAGTAGGAGAAATAGGACATGATGTGCTCAGGAAATA